TATGCAAGATGGTTAGATGATGACCACACCGCGGGCACATTTATTAGACAATGAACTTCGGATTGTTGTGGATAAATACATTGCTCGTTATGAAGAAATATTTTGCCTCAAAAGAAGTTGATGTTATATCCCATTTCTTCATCTCCTCACTTTATAGGTCTTTTTCCTACTGTGTGAATAATTAAGTAGAGAACTGCTTCCATAAATCGCAAGTATTACCCACATAATTGACAAATTACGTTAAGCACACATCACGTCCATCTATTTCATTTGTTGAATTGGAAAATTGTAGTCGTATAATTGAAATTTTAGAAGTAAATTTAGCCGAAATTAGAGCCCCATTGTCTAAAAAATCATTTTTCATCAACCTTATTATAAAATAGCTTCATATGTAAATTCAAAAAAATTCTCTATTTTTTAACCACACTTTCTCTACAAAATTATTATTACAAAATCTACTTCCTAAAAAATTGGACACAAACAGAGTGTAAGTTATTGCATAATTTCATCGTAAATAAAATCTTCATACTAGTAGAATTAATTATAGCCAATGGCTTTGGCCCCAACTATTTCTGATCCAGCCCAGCCCATTGGATCCTATATGGAAAATCGTAGGGAAAAATCATATTTAAGGTGTATTCTTACCTCAATTCAAAAATAAGATAAATAGTTTAAAAATTCAAAAACCATGTATTTATTTAATTAATTAAAAATACTTATTAAATAAAGATAATAAAATCACATTTTGTGATTAATGATCACATATTCATAATTTTAAGTTACAGATTTATTTACTGGTCACATATCGTTAAATTTTTTGATCCCAAATTATTTCGAGGTCACATATCAAAAAATTTGTACGTCACACATTATTTCGAGATCACAGATTTTTAAATTAGTTGATCACATATTATTTCGAGGTTACAGATTATTAAATTTTTAGGTCACATTTGAGTAATTGGTCACAAATTAACAAAAATTTGGTCACAGATTGACAAACATTTGGTACATACTACCGCCGCTTGATCACAGGTCACAGATTGACCAAATGCTTGGTCACAGATCGCAGTCACCACACCCACACCCACAGAACACTTGCAACAGCATATCCGCCACCACCATCAATAGATCTGTCACCAACGACCGCAAACATAAACAGCCAACCACCAATCCGCCACCCCAACAGCGCCACTACCACCATCCCTGTCCCATCAACAACACAGACATCACCATCACCACCCAATTACAAACACCACCAGAATTTGCTAACACCACCAACCTGAAATCAAAATTTATGGCCGACAGAGATCCGCCCGCCACAGCCACAGCCACAGCACACACCCACCACCACCGTACCCCAACCACACCACCATCTAACGATAGCAACACCACCACCCAAAATAAATCAACAAATGCAAAAAAAAAAAAAACACCACAACATCGTCGAGCCACATCGACAGACCCATTGACGCCAACATCTCACCATTACCGTTAACCATAGAACAACGACGGTCTCATCTCACATATCTGCTTCTAAACCACCACCACACAAATCACCACACTGACCACCACCATGCCCACCACAGATCCACCACCGCACCACCCACAGCCATAACCACAACCACTACCACCATCTCCTTTATCTCCATTTACACCACACGGCCACACCCACAGCAAAACATGAGAAGGGGATGAGGGAGAAGAAAGG